CGATCACACTATACGAACTACTGATACTCCTGGGTTCAAACCATTAGCAGTAATAAAGTAATAATTCGCAGCTAGATTTAGCCTAAAACTGGATGAAAATTAAAAGTAGCATCAAAACTAAATAAAACGAAAACTTGATGGGAAAATAGTTTGGAATATATATAGGGGGTGTTCGGGATAGGAGATATCTAGTTAAAATTTACAGGGACACAGGATATTTTTGGGAAAATCATTGGGCTATAAGATATACAGATAAAGTGGGATATCGAGTAGGAAACTTGTTTATCTTTACAAGTGGAATTAACGGGATACGGGATATATGTAGGGCAAAAAAAAAAAATTGATGCCGGGATACTCAGACACTCCCCCACCCCAAACAGGGCCTCAATAGAATACTACCCTGAACGTGCGCGGACTAACACCCATATTTGTCTCAGACTGCTTTGTCTCTTCATTCAGAAGGCGAAGAAATTGTTGGTCTGTTGAGACTACAATTCCAAACTCTCTCGCATCTCGAGCTCCTTACCATTTCACAGCTCTTATCAAAACTGCATTTGAACTCGCCTTTAGCGCTACAGTAAACGCAGCAAGTATGCATGTACTTAGGAATAACAAGAATTAACAAGGATAGGCTACGAGGTTGTCACTATAGTTCCCACAATTTCACGCCATAATTTATAAGCAAATAACTTAAAAGGTCACGTGACATTTGGATTCTCGAAAGCCTCCGACGTATCGACAGCCTCGACAGATAAGACTTCAAACTCTTTATACGCAAAACCCGAACAAAGGAAGGCTGATTTGTTTTCAAATGGGAACTTGTGATTTCAAAATCGTGAGTATCTCCGATCGTGAATCGATTCTTAATTTGTAAAGCGCTTGTTGGGCCGTCTTGGTGATTTTGCAATTGCTCGAAGTCTTAAATGAATCGCTACGCTGTAATTTTAAAAACACTAGTTCATCATGATCAGTTTTATTCGTTCCAGTTTAAGCTGTTGTTTGTAGAGGTTTTCTATTTCCATATATGTTCGAAAGTAAATTCAAAAGTATGCAAAACATACATTTGGTGGCACAATGTTAGCCAAGATGCTAAAGGAGAGGAGCAAAGACATTGTTTATTTTTTATATGGTATCAACTCGCTGATGCAACCCAGTCAGTTCAGTTCAATTTACTTCATAATAAACGATTTGCATTTTTGACTGCTAACACAGTCTTTCATGTCTGGTACATCCGTTCATCTGAGGTAACTTCTTTTCTTTCGTCTGTAGCTGATATGAAATGAGACTAAATTTTGCATTTAAATCAACAGTCTGCATGCAAATCAACAGTCTGCATATTCAAGGCGAACATTATATCATACCAGGCACACAAAAGATGAACAGAAATGTCAAAATATGATTACTGAATTTTAAAAGTTTTCAAGAAGCTCTCCTTATGCTTGATATAGCAAATGGGAAGCAGAAAACACGGCTAAATTGACATTTAAACAGGATATCAATCTGATCTCAAAACGACTGCATCGCTCGCTTGCTCTGATTTCCGGGAAACTGAACAGTCATTGACTATTCTTAGAACTGACGGATTTTTTTAACGTTATTAGTTCAATCCTTACTTTGCAGTTGAATT